TGATTTTCCAAAGCTTTTTGTATGACCAAAGGCTAACCGACAGGCCAATCGTGTCCCTCTGGAAGCCAGCGCGACGACTCTGAGTGTCACGCAGCTTGGCCCAAAGCAGGTCCCAAAGCGACAAATGGCTGGTATATTGGAGGTTTACAACGCATCAAAATTGGAGGTTTATAGGGTTTACCAATATTTACCACGCCTTCAATTGATGGTCATTTTATGATTTTTATGCAATTTTAAGAGGGAAAACGGATGAACATGGTTATGAACCAGTGGATGCAATGGGGTATAACATGAACCCCATTAAAAACGGTTCAAGCGAATGGATGTGACACGATGATAACCCCAAGTGACGAGCATATTTTTCTGGTGGGTTGAAAGCACCAACCAGTTGTGGATACATTGGGATATTCATGGACATTGATGGATTCGAGCTGATTCGAGCTGATTCGAGCTGATTCGAGCTCCTGCTGGGTGGCACTAGAGGGATCGTAGCTGGTGAACCTTTTCCCTCGTGATAGTAAGTCCCCGTTATGCGTATCTGGCATAACTGGGCTATGACCCCACAAACACTCTGAAACGCTGGCCACTAAGTCACTAAGTCATTGGCTACCTAGATTCAGATCATATTCAGAGTATATTCCCCTTATTGTTGGTACAACTCCAGAACTTTGTTGGTTTAGCCCATGAAGCTGTTGGCGTTCACATGTTCACCAAGCCCACGATTGGGATGATCCTCCAAGTCTTTCCAGGCAAGCGCTTCTGCCTGCGCCGGAGGCGGTCCTGGCTTTACTAAAGAGGATGGCGCCCATGAAGACACGATGTTCATGGGAAATTGAGGATGACTCATCCAATTTGGGGAGGATGAATCATCCAATTTGGTCCCCGATTTTTTGACACACTGATAAATTGTAGGTGGTGAAAAGTGGCGTCAATTGCCAAGTTTTTTTCCCATTCTGGGATGCATGCCCAGATGAAACGGAGATAGGCATGGCCCTGCAAATATGTAGTACCAAACCGAGCACACATTTTAGGCTAGATTGAGCATTCAATAAGCAATTTTCAGGTTCAGGAGCTTTTGATCCGTCTCCACATCATTAAGAGGTATATCATCGTAGATCATCGTAGATCATCGTAAATCATCAAACTAAATGGGCCATGGCTTCCACAGCTATGTTAAATAAACAGAGGGTCATATGATAGTAATACATTGGTTACATCATAAATTAATATTTCTTGTAATTATTGTAGCATTACACCAATATTTGATAAACATATGATGTGTCTACTGTGTCTACCTTAAAAGACACGACCTTTTTAGACAACGGCCGTTACCGCAACGGGTAGCAGCCGTTTCAGAGGGATGTACAGATCCCAAGTGACGTGATTTGTCCATGATTTTTCAGAGGGGTTGTTTTACCGTCACCCAGATACATAATTATACATAGACATAGGCTGACATAGGTAACATATGTACTTTTCTTTTAAAAAAATACATGCAGTCCACATCAACGAGTGGTTACCCGATTACCAGGGGAGATGATGTTTGCGTTCTGCGTTCTGCGGCGTGACCTCCTCTTGCGACATGAAAGCAAATCTTCGTCATTTCTTGACACCAGATTCTTGTCATAGCAAACACCACTTTGGTTGGTCACACATTTTTGCTACATTCCTGGAAACCCGCTATTTCTATAGTAACAATCCCAGCTATATCAAACCTCTTTTGTTTGTTTGTTTTTCATAATTTTCCCCTCCATCTTTCGTGGGTCCCCCCGTTCCAGGCCACGACAGCCACGACTTCTCCGGCGGCGGCCAGCGCGACCAGCGCCGCGACGGAGGTGACAACGACGCAGGGCTTTCGGATGCCCAGACTGTCTGAGGCTCGGGTTGGCTCTGGAGACGCCCCAAAAAGGCATGTTTTGTCACGAGAAAATGGGCAAAACAGGGATTTCACCATGATTTTTGAGGCCCAAAGACTAGAGTAACATATAGTAACATCCAATTTCACCAATAGAAGTGGTGATATTTTTTTGATGTGATATTTGAGATGTTGTGGCCCAGATGACCTTGTGTCAATTTGTAAGGCGAGCAGAGCCTTTCTTGGACCACGGGGAACCAATTTTTTTGCTGGGTGTTGAAAAACAGATGTTTGTTACTGGTATTGCTTGTTAGTAATTGTTAGTGTAAATCCATATTATAATATGTTGCGCAGAAGATCAAAAGATCATAAAAGATCAAATAGCCATGAACAGGAGAGGACACATATGTTGCGCAGCAAAAAAAATCATGGCTATTTGATCTTCTAGTGTAAATCCATATGTTGCGCAGCAAAAAAATGGTGCCCCGGGTGGCTGCCGCACCCTCATCAACAACCAGCACTGGTCTTGGATGGTGAGGGTCGCCGAGGTCGAGACATGGACTTGGTTTACTTCACCTCGAGGCAAGGTTTGCATAGATCCCAGCTATTTTGCTGGGAGCCTTAAAGTTGGTAAATCGTTTGTGAGAAAGAACGCATGGTTTTGTCAAACACATTTCCAATCACTTTGGGCTATTTTTGGTATAAGAACTGTAGGGACTCTGTCTTGATTTCTTGACCATCCTTGAGCAAGTCCAAATTTGTTAAGAGGAATCCCAGGTTTTGCAGGACTTGAAAAACCTGAATTTTCGACTTAAGTGGAAGGTCTTGGGATGAAAGGACAGGGCGACCAGTATTCCAGACTGAGACGACAATGTGGGAAGATTTTTTGGTGATGTGACATTTACCCTCTGGTAAATTAACATAGACCCTGAAAATAGCCAATTTTTAATGGAAACTAATCTTCCAACCCCTATCTGGCAGGGTCTATGTTAATTTACTTGAGGGTAAGCCCCATTATATCAACATTCTATCCCAATTCTATCCCCATTATATCCCATATATTCCATTGTTTTGATACAACCCCGACCTGGGACCATTTTTTTTTCGATGCTTTGTAGCTTTCTTAGCAGTCAGGCCTTGCGCAACGAGGCCGGGTTGGCCCCTGGGACTTGGCAACCTGGCGGTGGTTTGGTGCAGCCATCCTGGCTGCTGGAGTCGGCGTTCGTAATTTTTCGGTAGATCGGGTGACCCACAGCCAGAATTACCGTACCATCATTGGCTCAGAATCACCAGCAAACAGTTGGATCTACTGCACTACATCTGTCCGAAATCACCGAACTTTCTGCTGATTTGGTGCCCCAATGAATCAAGGTGGATCAAGCTGCATTTCCCCTCAACTTGCACTAAAGTCACTAAACATCAACTCGGATTCTTCATCCATTCCATATATTCCATGGAATCTCAACCTCTTCTCGTGGCTTAGCTTAGGGCCGGGCCCCTTGGGATTCGTGGCTCGACGCCAGGATCACCAAGACGTGTTCTCCACGATGCTGGCCTCCTCGGTGGCTTGGAAAAACCACAGAACTTGGGAACCCGAAACCTTTAAAATTAAAGGTCAGAAGGGGAAAACTAGGTTTTGCTGCTTGGTTAAAATATATATATATATGTAAATTACAATATTTTTCTTGAACATAGAATATTACATTGAGTATATGTAAATTTTACTACATATAATATTACAATGGATGACATATAATATTTATAATACTGGTGCCTTGGATGATCTCATTGATCCATCCCAGCTGGAATCGGGATGGCGGAAGTTACATGTAAAACAAACAACCACGGAGCTATAACAAAAATCACCATGTTCCAAAGTCACATGTTTTTTTTTTTTTAACAACTATTTTCTATTTTTTCCCCAGCAATTTAAGGCCCCCAAGATTTTTTCCCACCGCTCACCAAAGTGGTTTCCTGACAGCTCAGCTCAGGCCGGTCTGCTGGCGGGCCTGGCAGGTGCGGCAAAAACTGAGCATCTGATGATCGAACACCAACATTAGAATATACCATCAGAAGAAGAATATACCATCAGATAATCATCAGAAGAATATACCATCTGTACCAATAATTAGATATACCATCAATAATCATCAGAACAATATACAACCTGTACCAATAATTATATGACAATAATTAGATCACGATAATTGGATATAATTGGACTAATTATCAGATCATTATTATTTGTACCAATAATTATCTGATAATTAGTCCAACTATATCCAATGATCTGATAATTAGTCCATAAATGGTATCCAATTATATCCAATGGTATCCAGAGTTGCTCCCAAAAGACCATATCTGATGATCCAGATGGTCTAGTTCATATTCTGATGATTAATTTTTCAAACTGAGCAGTATGCTTGGAGCAACTTATCTGGACATATCTGGACCAATACTTCCCCTCTCTGATGATTGAAACCAACTATTTTTCCATACGAATGTGATCTAATTCTGATCATCTTTTTGTCACATTGGTCAGACCAGACATATTTCGAAAGGGGTACCGACTCTGAGACCAGACACATTTCGGTGGGTTCCAACACTTTTGTTGGAGAGCCGATTCTGATTCCGACAGACCATTGCTAGGCGTCCAATCGTTTGAGAAAAGCCATTTTGAAGTACCCTTCAAAAAACCACCATCTCTGGCCGGTAAGAAAAGGGATACAGTTCCCGACTGACTTTCATTAGTTCGATTGCCGGAGGGTTTGCGGGATTGCCCAATAGTGGCGGCACGTGCCCCCAAGATCTCGTTGGTCATCATTGGGACCCTATTCGGTTGGCCGTACTTTGGTGGTACGTTACATGCCCGACTGTCTGGACAACCTCAGCTGGAAAATACCTCACCAAAAAAACGGGTTGAACGGGGTTCCCTATATTTCCCCATTTTAGGGATATTTTGTATCACCTTGTGGTTGAATGATGGTAAACCACCCCACAAAGGGTGACGTTTATGGGGGACATGTAAGGAGCCCTGCTGAATCTTCAAGTTGACCAGGCAACATCAGAACGTTGGCTTAGACATGTTCGACGCAAGAATTGGGGGATGATCCCAACCCCCCAACCCCTCATTTTCGAGGGAGTAATGAACATCTCCAGGTTTTTGCGTGGATCCAAAACCATCCAAAACCACTTCTCCCCCTTACCCAGCACGGTCGCAGGCTGGGTGAACGTCTTCCTCTGCCGAAGGATCTCCTTGGACGGCTCCTCCCTGGTGGGACAGTTGGGGGAGCCCAGCGAAGCAGCGAAGCGAAGCGGAGGAAAACGGTCAGAAATCTCCACCTTTTTGTGGGGATGGCCATGAACATCTTGGGCTACCCTCTGGTTATGACCAACAGTTCGCCATGGGAAATGGTCCATAGAAATAGGTGGTTTACCGGTTTACCTATTAAAACTGGTGGATCTTTCCATGGCTATGTTAAATAACCAGATGCTATATGGTTTGATGATGTTTGATGTGCTTTTTTTTGAGCGATATTGCAGGATTTTGCTTGGTGAACCCTAAGAATGACATAGAATGACAGGCCGTTTTTGGATATCAATTGAAGTGACTGTTGGACACTCACCTCAAGAGGGGATGTACAGGATAGCCAGTGCAGTTGACTACTACAGCCCTTTTCCCGTGATCCCACATTTGTGATTGGTTGCAAATTTCCATTTTGGTTCGTTCTCTCCTCTTTCTGTCCCGTTTCTTGCTGGTCATATCAGTCATATCGTTCTGATTTCAGGACCACGCAGTTGGACATTAAAGATGATGCTTTCCTCGAGTTTCCTCAAATCAACCCAATGTTTCGACGGGTTTTGTGCAGATTTTCCCTACAACGGAATGCTTTAAGGTTCCCATGTTGGACCTCCAGCTTCTTGCCTGCCGGGTGCTTAGTGGCTACGGAGTGGCCTTTTGGGACGCCGGCCTTACGTCTGGCTCATCCCACATCGACTGAGGTCATTGACTCACTCCTTTGGACCTCCTTGAGCGCACCGGCGCTGCCAGCGTGGAATCCTGGTGCCAAACAGTGGCGAAGGTCTACTTGGCTCTGAAGAACGCAGGGGGACCTGAAAAAAAACTCCATTTCTGTTGCGAAAAACATGGGAAATGATGGAACATGATGATGAATCATCAACTCTTGGAGTGCCTTGTTTTTAGACATACCCGCTTCCAAAATCTTGGAAAATCGGTTGTCCAGACGGGTATAGTTGGGCTATCCCCACATATACACCATTTCTGGGGCCCAAATGACAAAAATGGAATCAAACATGGAGATGTTCACCAACAGCAGAGGCAAATTCTTGACTTCGAGTTTCGTACATAGCATTTTTTTTGGTCAATCTGATCTATTTGTTTTTCCAGCTTGCCACGTTTGAGTACCGGAGGGTCATGGTTGCAAAAAACGTGTGGATCTTTGTCCGCGGGTTTTGAGTAAGATGGGGATCCGAAGCATGATGTCCTGGGGATATGATCACTCGAGAAGGGATCCCTGAGAATGGTTACATCCCTGTGAAGGGATTGAATATCCATTCCCTATTCTGCGGAAGAACAAGAAGAACAAGAAGAACAAGAAGAAGAAGAAGAAGAAGAAGAACAACTACAACACTACAACACTACAACACTACAACACTACAACACTACAACACTACAACACTACAACACTACAACTACAACTACAACTACAACTACTGCAAGCAACTTATACAACCAGCATGAATAATAACTTATCCTTCCCTGGTAATAACTTCCACCAAGAAACGGTGGACATGTATTGGGTCTGGATTTGGGGCCCCGTTCATTGCTCCAACCGTGGAGAGATTGCTAGCCACAACGGGTGGGAATGGGTCTATTTTAGTCTATTTTATCATATCCTGATCTTGATGTACCCAAGTTGACTTCATATTCGCAAAAAAAATGTCGCTCCCAAAATTTTAATGGCTAGCGAAGTTAACGAATTTTACCCAACATGTTCTGATTATTACTCATCATGGACACCTTTAAAAAATAGAAACGTTAGCTCGTACGACGTGACGAAGTCGTGGGTGTTGGGATTTTTCAGGTGCCCTGCGTTGCGGAGACGAAGGATGGCTGATGGCTACTCTCTGGGAACCAAAGGGATAAAATTTGGGGTTTCCTAAGTTTAAGTCATGGGACCCCCAGTGATCATCCAAGTCATGAACGACCATAATTTGAGTATTGAAACAAACATGGTGACGACTGGGGTACCCCCATTTGTGGAAACCTCGAAATAACTGACTGAGTAACTCAGGGATAATTTATAAAAAACCCTACATAGTGTTTAACTAAGCATGTTATCTCTAGTTATTTAGGGAATCTATAACTTATTAAACAAGTAAGGGATTTAAGTGACTAAATGGGGACTTAGTGGTTAAGTAGGGATAGGGGGATTTGGCAGGCTATCCTGACGGATAGTAGCTGAAGGGAGTTAATTTTTGGACTTCATGGGACGAAAAAGGACCATGATATCAGATGTACCCTTTGGAAAATTGCTAGAGCTTGCAAAGTGGTATTAGATGGCCCTACTTCGATGATGTACCGTACCTAGTAGCTCAATGGCGAAGTTCTGTAGGTCATACCTTTCAAACAATGGATTCAAATTGTAGAACTGTTCTTTGGTTGTCATAGACTTTTTCAAGGAACAGTAAACAGTGCTTAATCTACCTCCAAACCACTTGATGAAGCACCCTGACTTTCCCAGGAGCGCAAGCTGAGCTTCAGGCCTCTGAGGTCCATGGAGGCCTGGCGATCTACCCCAGGGGGTAATGGCTGGATCAAAAACGGGAAATCCACAATCGAAATGGAGCTTTTACTTGGAAAGGCATATACAAATCATATATAGATGGTGGATTTTTCATGATTTTTCCGTCGAACTTGCTCTAACTTACAAAAAACATCCTCTGATCCCACCATCCAGCACCCATTGATCCGCAGGCAATGCGCTGGTGGAGCGATTTGCCCCAGCTGGAGGTTGGGAGATTGAAACACGCCGACCAAAATTACAAGCCACCAACATACCCATTTCAGGAAGATATCCGTTTTCTTCAAGGCGGTGAGAGCAACTAAGAACTTCAGTGGATATCTATAGATTCTTCAGTGATATATATATATTTATTGAATGACGCCAATGTATCCATTGAATTCCATTGATATTATGGGTCCAAGCTACGTTTCCTCTTTTGTTTTTGCAGATGGAGCACTTGCCTCGGCGCTTGCAGCACGAGACGCGTTGGGGTTTCCCAGATGACGGTGGTGAATGTCATTTCTCAGCTTGGCGAACAGGGAGACATGGTGGATATTGGGAACATTGGTGGTTTTGAAGGTCTCTGGACTCTAGTACTTCCCAGGACTCTTGGCATACTTTTTCCTTCTTTTGCCAGTGTTGGCAACTTGCTTTCACCCCTTTCACCCCATTTTTTCTCTCCAAACGGAGATGAACAAAAGAGATGTTGCAGTTGAGCTCGATTTGAGTATTTGGTCTGCCCATTGACTCGTCTCAATGTCCATGCTGTGATCGCCCAGAATTTTTCTCACCAGTTCGATGACTTTAGGCCATTTTAGGATTTTGCAGATTTCCTATTTCTCAGCCATCTTTGATGAAACCAGAGGGTATTTACATATGTTTATTTACCACCCAACATGTTCCATTGAAATGTAGGCCATGGTGGGATGGTGACCGGCTTAGGCTGGGAAGATCTCTTCACTCCTGCCAGGTCGGCTGGTCGGGGCTGGGAAGGAGGTCACCTTGGATATCTCCAAGACATTTTGTGTCCTCAAACATGGCAAACTGGGAAATCCCGGTGGCCTAAATGGAGGTTTCAATGGCGAAAACTATCGAACTAACATGACCAGTTTGGGGAATTTTCCGGCTAGCCATGTGTGATGAAACCAGAGGGTACATATATTCAGTTTCTCATCATGTTTCTTTCCATCTTCCTGATTCTCTCTTCTTACATACTCACACTTTTTTTTTGGAGGCCATGGGATTTATGTAATATCATGTGATATCCATTTTTGTGTTGAAGAAACACTTGGTTATCCCTAGGAAAAATGAGAGGTTCAGTCACGGTATGGTGGGGATACCCCGGACCCCACATGATTTGCACCGTAGTGATGAAACATGGCGATGCCAGTACTTGGAGTTGCAAAATTTTCAAAGCTCATCAATGCCATACCCTCTGGTTATGACTAACATAGCTATGGTATAGATGGCCCATAGAAATAGATGGTTTACCGAACTTAAAAATGGTGGATCTTTCCATGGCTACGTTAAATAACCAGATGGTATTTTTTTTTTGGTGATTTCGAAGTGTTTGCTAGCAAAGTATAGGGACAGGGTTGCCCAATCTCCGAGGGCCTGGAGATTGACCCACAGATTTTGCATATTTCGCTGGTGCAACTTTTGCATATCACATTTTTAACACTGGTTGGTGGTTTGGAACATCTGGTTAATAGTGATGGTTAATAGTGGTTAAAGATGGCTATAAACCAACAACAATGGGAATATGATGGTTATATACTGGTTGGTGGTTTGGAACATGAATTTTATTTTCCCATATATTGGGACTGTCATCATCCCCAACTGACTTGAACTCCATGATTTTTCAGAGGGGTTCGCAGCAACCACCAACCAGAACTGACACGTCTCCGAGTTCACGTCTCCGAGATCGGTAGCGATTTCCGAGATCTCATCTGCCATGTCATGCTAAGCCAGGCACCTGGCTTCAAGGATGCAGGACCTTTTACAGACCTGTCCTGACCTGTCGATCATTTGGAGATTTCTTACAGCAAACTGAAAACAGCAGAAGGATCCTGTCGATCCACGCCATGACGAGGAGATGGTGGTTCTGGGTCGACTCCCAGAGCCCAAGAAGTTTGGAAACTCAGATTGGGACAGCTTGGATGCTACCCATCCTTGACATTCATGGATTTCAAAGGACGTGGGGATTGCTGAGCTACCTAATATATATATATATATGATATTGAAATATGATGATTTCATCAAACTAGGTATGCTATGGTATGCTATTGTTGGTTGATAGAATATGAACTTGGATCATCCCTTGTTTGCAAATATGTAATCCCAGAGGTGACATCTTTGCTATGAACCACACCTACTCACGGATGATGCCGGATTTTTGGTCCATTGAATGGCTGGAGTCCAATATGGCGTAGGATGTTCTGGGCATCCTGTGGTGAAACATGAAATGAACATCTGCAATTAGTAGAAGATTTGATGATGTTCTTCTTTTTGCATACCCATGAATGAACAGGGATTGCTGATTGCCGAATCCCATTTAAATCCATTAAATCAACTTATAGATGATTTACCCCTTGAAAAAAAACGGGGTTTGATGCCCAGCGAATGTTTCCCCGAGTTCCCCCGCGAAAAAACAACAGCCAAAACTGAGGTGGTTGACGGTGGCCATGCGAACGCGGAGCCAGACGGAACCACACGAATTGGCAAAGGTGAGGATTCTGCAGATTCTGGATGAATGGGGTAAACCCAATCATAAACCTTCAATTACGGATGTCTATTTACCAGCTATTTCTAGCAAACATGGGGATGCAGTAATTTAACATGGCAATGGAAAATCAACCATTCATACATGATTCATCCCATCTCTTCCACGTAAAAAGTTGGGATTTTCATTTGCCATGTTAGATTACCAGAGGGTGTTGAGAATCATGTTAGGACAAAGTGCCTTGATGGAAGATATGAAGACAGACACATAGGGGGATATGGTGGGGATATGGTGGGGATATATATATATATAATATAATATATAATATATACATATTATATATATATATATAAATAATATATAATATATATATATATCCATCGATCAATGGAAGAGATTTGTATCATATTCGTTATATTACGTGAGTAAATGGGGTTGAACCATTAATAAAACGGGGGATATGGGTATGGCTCAAGCCATTTCGGCACCAATGGACCCACAGAAATATGTTGATCATCCTCAGTGTCGCCATAGGCCATAGGCGGCATAGCAACCTGGCGGTCGCCATAGCCCCGTTTCCCTCAATTGGGATCGAAGGATTGGGGGATTGACCCCAAAATGGGATGAAGTCACAAAACTTCGTCGTCGCCCCAACTTTGCGCGAGGTGATCCAAAAGCTTTTTCTAGCTGACGACGGCATGCTGGTGGGGTTGGGGGGCAAGTTCGACCGCAAGTTGGGGCATCAATGCCCCCAGATTTTTTTGTTGGCTTTATCACATCTTCCCATTTTCAAGGTGTTTCATTGCCCTTCTGATGTGTGGTGGAGGCTTACATGTGTTTTTGATACGGAAGTGGAGAGTCAACTTGTGCACAGTGCACTACCTTGTAATTGGACCCTGTTGGCCTTGTACAGTTTTCCACAGATGATTTGTTGAACAAATATCTTAGAGAGCTACTTACCGGCTACTTTTCCATGCTTCAAGGAACGCCCCTGGCTTTTGGGCTACAAGAATCGCTTCAACGTTTAGTTTTCCTCATTTTTGGAAATAACCAAACATATCGAACAAAATCATGCAAAATAACTATTGACATTATTGAAATACACATTCAGAATCAATCACCAGTCATGGGGAACAAGGCCTCAGTTGGAAGTGAAGGGCAATTCTCCACCAGGTCCTCATACACTTGTCAGACTCGACCACGAGGCGTTTTCTTTTTTTTTCCGCGGTGGAGGTGGCTCTTTTTTTTTGGGGGGGGTGGGGTCAATTGCAGTTTCACACATTCTGGCCTAAGGAAAAACATGGTGAATCACAGCGAGTTTCGCCCCCGTAGCAACTAGGGTGTTGGGAGCACTGAAAAATCGAGGTTGGGGAAGATGACAACAACCCAATGACTGGGAAAACGAGCGAGAAAAAATCTAGGCCGGTGGGTGTGAACAGCTATTTGCTTAAAGCCGCCGTGCTGAAAATACACAACAGGGTGAACTTATTCATCTTGGCATACTCGAAATTCCATTGGAATATTGCTTCGAAACACTTTGTTTCGCCAATTCAACGCATTGCTTAGTCAATACACAACAAACAAATAATATGCCATAACCCATCCATTTTGGGGTACCACCATTTATTGAACCCCCAATCTCAGTGATTTGGGTCTTAAGTTTGAAAACCCCTCGGATGCAGCCATCCTGCTTGGGTCAAGGATGTACATATCTGACATATCTCATATACGACTCGGCCAATCTGTTGCCTGTGGTTGTCGTTTTCTTGACATATCTAAAAGCCCACACTTTCTCCTGAAGATCTGCTGAGTCATGAAATCGCATCAGCTCATCAGAAAGCATGAACGGAACATCCCTTGATTTCTGGGTCGACTGTAGCATGGGAAACCAGACTAACCACAGCAGAAAGATGACTAACCAGTCAACAACTTGGAGGGTCTCCAAGGTTCGCAGAGGCTAGTAATATGTCTTCCGCATCAGTCTCTACAAGTCATCTGCTTCGATCATGGCATTATGGCGTTAGCGCCTCACTCGCAGCGCAGCTGCAGTCGCTGGCTGGTGGTGGATACAGATGCAGGTGCAATCGCGTTTCGATTTGGGGTGCATTTCGATTAATATGTCTATATTCACCATAGTTGTAGATAGTTGTTGGGGCCCCATATCCCAACTTATGGAGGTTATTTATGGAGGTTATTCCCATTCTATACCATTTCTATACCCATGAATAAACCCAACCGCACCCCCGAGTGTATCACAGGTTGCAGGAAACTGCGGGTCAGTCTCAAATTCGCCTGGCGAAATCGTTTGGGTCATGATGAACTACCGGTGTCATCAGAATATTGGTTCATAGTGATGGTTTTTATAGTGGTTAATAGACTATAAACCTGGTTCATAGTGGTTAATAGAATGGGCTAGCGCCCTGGTGCCGCCGACCCCCCTTTGTGGGGGTTGGCAGGGCAGGATCAGTAAATAAAACCACGGGAGAAGTAAAAACAATAATCAACGATCATATCCCAAGCAGGGTCATGGAAGAAAAGATCAACAGCGAAGCAGAATCATAGACAACTTAGTTGCTCGGGCACTCGCGTTGCGAGCACTCGGCACTCACGTGCTGCAACTTACGTGCTGCAACGTATGCCAATGCATTTTTCATGGACGGAAATACGTCATTGTTTTTTTTTGAGTGAGAGGCGTGTCGATGCTTTTTTTGGTGAATCAAAAATGCATTGGCATACTAGCTAAGATCAAGTAAGCCCTTTAAGGACTTTGGATAAAGTAAAAACCTGTAAAAACTCCTGCAGTAAAACCATGTATTGTATATATCATCGATCTACCCGATAGCGTTGGTTCAAAAAGAGCTGAGAGCTTAGCGGTTTGTAGTGCATTTTACCCCATTGTCGGTTGACCTGGTAAAATACAGGTTATCAGCCGTAGTCTCACTACTTTGCTATGGGGACCCCAATTGACCATCCTCTCGCCGTTCCAGGGTCAGGTCCATCGGCTGTCGCTGTGCCTAATATGGCCGGGGGCAACCCCGAGCCGATGGATGACGAAACAATGTTCCAACCCGTTGTTGCGTACTTTACCTTCATACAAAACAACCTGTCCCAGATTACTAGTGGGAATACCCTGCAAGTCATGAGGGAAGCTGAACAGAGGCACCTTCAGATAATGCATGGAGTAGTTGACTCAATTCGAAACGAATGGTCAAGTAGACTCGTAATGCAGGAGCAGGAGTATGAGCAAAGGCTGCAGGAGGTTGAAGGTAATGCCATTAGTGCCCTCAACGAGGAGAGGAAACGAGGCGACGAGATGGAGGTCAGGTTGAATCAGGCTCAGGCATCGCATGACAAAAGAATAGAGGATGTAAAGGCAGAGGCAAACACAAAGCATGATCAGAAAATTGCAGAGGAAAGAAAACGTATCACTAGTGAATTCGAAGCTTCCTATGCACAGACAGTTGAACATGCAAAGAATGCCATAGCTGCCACAAAGAAGCAATATGAAGATCAGGCTGCAATTGATCAGGCCAGGTTCATCAGTTTGAGGACTGAGTTTGAGAACTACAAGAAGGAGATGGCCGACAAGATCAACGAGGCAGCGGCTCAGAACCTTAGCCTTCAGGACCAAATCGATGATCTTCAGGAGCAGTTAAAGCATGTTGCCAAAGCGCAGCATGCCTCCGTTCCGAAAGCATCCGTCCAGAACGCCGAGCCGGCCGCTACCACTAGCGTGCCCCACTTCAATATTGCCACTCCCAAAGCATCCGATGCACAGGCTGCCAGAGGCAGTGATGAGCCGATTCTTGAGTTTAAGACGCCTGCAGTGTTGGCGCAGGAAGCAAAGGCCAAGTTGGATGAGCTGCTCAAAGGTGGCAGTCCCAAGCAAAAGCCGGCTGTCGGCAACGACCAGCCCCAATTGCCAACGCAGTCAGGGTTTTTCACTCCCACTGAAGCTATCAAAACTCCCCCAAATGAATCTCCTAAGAGCGCAACCAAGCAACAGCAAGTTATGGGTCCCTCAGATCTTATTGAATTGGTGAAAGCCTTAACCCAAAGGGAAGAAAAGGATAAGCCAAAAACTAAGGAGGCTGAACTCATCAAGCTGAACAACATGCCCGCTCCGGAGTCATATAGAACTTGGAAGAATCATGTCAGGGATGAAGTGAAAAGCTGTTCAGATCGCCCGGATGAGGCGTGGCTCTGGCTCAACGAGGTGTACGATCAAGAGTGCACCAGAGAGCAGTTGGAGAAGAAACTCCAAGATCCTGGAAAGTTCCTCACGCTGGATACAAAGTTATCAGCAGCGCTCACGCGCTCAGCCGGAGGGGACCTCGCAACTAGGATCTTGAATTTCAAGGAGCAGCAATCCCGAAAAGGCATCCAGGTCAGGGGAAGATATGTTCTGCTTATGTTTGAGGACTACTTCAAGACATCAGAAGAAGCAGGTAGCCTTTACAGAGTAGAAGATCTTTTGGGTGTTGTCAAAGTAGGCGATACTGTCCAGGATCTCCGAAGATTCATCAACAAATGGGATGCTACCCTAGCTGGCATGGCGGTCACCCCTGATGATGCTGTGTTAAGGGACATCTTGTTGAGGCAGATCCGACCAAGTCAGTTGCTGAAATATGACATCGAGGTGTTTGACCGTGCTCATGAGAAATCCCATGAAAAGTCTTACAGTTTTCTTCACCAATCCATGAAGAACTTGATCGATCGTGAACGATTGAGGGAGAACAGGAACCGCATTGCGGAGAAGAACAAGGCTGGGATTAAGGACACAAAGGCCGCACCCGCCAAAGGCGATGGTCGCGGCGGCCGAAAGGGCTCTCCAAGTCGCGGTAGATCGCAGGAACGAGGTGGCAAAGGTGACAAGATTTGCTATAAGTTCCAAAAGGGTACCTGTGATAAGGGGAAGAAGTGTCCATTCAAGCATGTCAAAGATGATAAATCTCGAACTCAATCACCCAGAAGAACCAAAACACGTTCACCATCAAGGGGCAATAAGGATGATAAGGGGAAGAAGATGTCTAAAGAAGAAATGGCTAAAACCCCATGCATCTATCATGCCCAGGGAAAGTGCAGACGTGGTGACAAATGTTTTTATAAACATGATGACAAAGCCGCTGCCGCCACCAAAGACACCAAAAGGGCCAATTCACCCGCTCCCAAGAAGAAGGGCAAGGATTCCACAGCCGCTCCATGTCTGATCCAGAAGTTTGCATGCATCGTCCGAAAACAGCCGAAGGCAACTTCGTGCTCTGATGAGGCAAGTGTCAGCATGAAGCGTCTTAGATTCCGAAAGGCCCCACATGTGATCGAGGTGAAGGCAGTCGGTCGTCAAGTCCCAGTCAAGCACCGTCCAAGAGAGTTCACTAAGGTGTACAAGACAGCTGAAGATGTTCCAGTTTCATCAAAGGTTGAACAGCATGAAGCTCAGGTTCGTGCAAGACAGCTCCAAGAAACTGTGAAACTTCATGATTCAGATGTTGCACCAAGTTGTGGGTTTTGTTGTTGGGATGAGGACACACGTGACATCACATGCAAAGAGTGCAGGTTCATCAGCGGTCCCAAAGCCCTTAGAGACATTGGTCGTTTCCCGTCAATTGCCACAGCTGCGCCAAAGGCCGGTGTTAGTTGGCTTGTCGACTCAGGTAGTGAATCCGATCTTGTGTCCAAAGGAATGCTGAGGGATGTAAGTGCCAAGAACTGCCGTGCAGCCGAGCATCCGATTTCCTTAGTCACAGCCAACGGTTCGACTGAGGCAAACGAAGTTGCTGATGTCAAGTTGTCCGCATTGCCAGATCCCGTGCATCCGTATGTGCTTGATCATACCCCAGCTGTGCTCTCTGTAGGAACGAGATGTGTAGATCAGGGTTACAGTTTCGTATGGCCTGCCAATGGCAAACCAATCCTAGTCCGTCCAGATGACAAGGTCGTCCAGCTCAAGATCGAAGGTCATGTCCCAATCTTGGATGATAGTTGCAAGGTTTATCCCAAAGATCAATTTCAAAAGGATAAGCACCTCAAAAAGTTGTTTGCAATGCCGACCTCACGGTCGAGCTCAAAAGCCAAGCGGGACGAAGCCCAAGATGAAGAGCAGTTGGATGAACTGGTGGAGGATGACGCTCAGCAGGAGTACATCCGAAGCCGAAAGACTGAGGATCTGTTGGCTGAAGCTGCAAGTACCCAACATCAGTACACGCATTTCCCCAAGAACCCCTTTTGCAGAACCTGCCAACGAGCAAGGATGATGGCACCTCAGGCACGAAAGAAGGGTGGTCAGAAGAGAATCGAAACTGAAGTGTTTGGTGACCACATCATTGGGGATCATGTCATCATCAAGAAAAATGTAGAAGAGGGTTTCAGGGGGGAGCAAGTTGCGTTGGTGTTGAAAGATCTGCACACCCAATATCGGTATGTCTACCCTAGCCAGTCCAAGGACTCACAAAGCTGTGTTGATGGTTTGAATCACTTCATTGGATCAAAGGATGATGTTCAAGTTGTGTACACTGACAATTCCCCAGAATTGATCAGGGCCATCAAGGATTTGGGTTACAGACACCAAACTTCCATTGAATACGTAGATTCATCAAAGTCTTTTGCTGAGCGCGAAGTTCGTCAGATGTTGGAAGGTGCCCGGAGCAACTTGTTGCAATCAGGACTTCCTTTGAAGATGTGGCCATTAGCCATGCAGCATCATGCGACCGCGATCAATGCAAGCCCCCAGCTTGACGGCAGTGATTCCCCATGGCAACTCAGGTTTGGTGAAGAGTTCCCTGCTATGCACATTCCATTTGGTGCCAAAGTGTTGTTCTGGAATAACCCCAAGAGGTTGGATAACACATCAGGTAAACTCTCCCCAACAGCAAATGAAGGAATTTTCCTTGGGTATTACATCCAACCAGGTCATGATTGGAAGGGTGAATACTTAGTTGCCAAGTTGGAAGCCGCGGATTATCATGTCAACTGGGGTGCACTGACAATCCAAAGAACAAAGAGGTTGGAATTGCCATCCGAGGGTTTCATCTTTCCTTTGAAAGCTCTGATCGACTCGAAAGCACCCAAAGCCGATCGC